CCGTCCTGCAGGGCTCTGTGTCACCTGCAGGCCTCCAAGCTCGAGTCAAGAGCTTACAAGCAAACATCTGGTCTTCTCAAAGAGTTTTCATTGCATAAACTCTTTTTATGTGCTTCCAATTAAGTTTGATTCTGCTTGATCTGTCTAATTTCATTGACTTCTTCCTTTATCACTGTCAGTTTTGGGGGGCAATGGTAATTAGTCTCCTGGCCTGCACAAGCCAGCAGGCAGTTCCCCTTGAGGAGAAAACCTCAGTATGCATTGGGTGCCTTTGCACATATTAATATGCCCAAATTACATATGGTAATGTGAGCTCGGTGCCCCTGCTTTAAGAGAGTGGATTTATAAGCATAAGCAGACTGCGAAAGCCAGCCAGGGAGCTGGGCAGCCTCCACGCCAACTTGGATTTGGCAGCTTTCAGCTTTAGTGAGAGTAGATTAATTAGGAGGATTTTGAAAGTCCAGACAGATTAAGGCTGAGATGGTTTAATTAGTAAATCAACCTTTAATAGTCAATTTGTTTCTCTAATTTTTTTTTTCTCACTCTGAAAAGTCCCTCAGACATTGCTGCCCTTTTTGTCCCTGAAGTCATCACCTTAGTTGGGGCCTTGCTGTACCTGCTGTGCCTGAGCCCTACTGTTCCAAGCCTTGTAATGCCTTCCTGGGCCTCTAAGGCATCTCTCCTTCCCCATCCTGCACCTGCTGCTCACCTCTAATTTATCTTTCTTACAAACAACCCAGATGGACCGACGGATGGAGGGTGATACCTGCCGGACCCCCAGCTCACCCTGAGCTGCCCTGCTGCAGACTCACATGTCTCTCTCTGTTCAGTTGCACTGGTGGGGGCGGGCCTGTGTCTCCATACTCCCAGCACCCCGCATGGGGTGGCCAGATGAAACACAGGGCTCTCATTTAAATTAGAATTTCAGATAAACTACAAATAATTTGTGGGACATGACTTAACACTATTCGTTGCTTATTTGAAGTTCAAATTTAGTTGAGCATCCTGGATTCATGTTTTTTAAATCTAGCGACCCAACTGTACGTCTGTCTACCTCTTCTTTCTGGGACTTTTTCCTCTGCTGGAAGGCCCTGCTTCCCCTTCAAGTCAGTGGAAACCCTGCAATGACAATATTCTACCACCCTGCATTCTTCTCAGTGTTTGTCTGGTTGTCTCTGTTAGAATGAAGGTCATGAGAAGGTGAAGTTCCTACCTGATTCATTTGTGAGTCCTTCACAGAATGTCTTTAGAACAGGATTTTATAAACTAAGGAACAGTGAGACAAGGCACAGGACATCCTGAACCCAGATGACCTCCCCAGCTTCCTTCTCAGTATGCTGAGGCCTCACGTGACCTGTTCCATTTTTGGGGCTGACAGCTGGAACTGTGACCCCTGGGAGATGAGCCAGCCTCTCCTCTCCTGCCTCTGTACAAAATGCTGAGTTATTTATTTCTCAGTAAAACATCCTCCACAGTGAGTCAGGGTTGGAGGGAGATATTATTTTCCAAAGATTTAGTGAGCAAAAGAGGACACGGTCAATAAGCAGCAAATCTCAGCTCCACTGCAGGAAACTGGAGGGGCCTGACACTGTTGGGGTTGTGCGTGTGTGTGCACGTGTATGGGTGCACACTTGTGTGTACACATTTGCATGCATGTGTGTGCATAACTGTATGTGTTTACATATGTACATGATGTGTGTGAATATATGTTCATTACAAAATGTTTGGAAAGTTTATGAAGAAGCAGGAAAAAATCCAATTATCTCAAATCTCACTTGCCAGACCTAACAATATTTCTCAATCTTTTTTCCAGACACTTCTATACCTAGTTGGGTTCATATTGTGTATATAAGTTTCTCTCTCTCTTTTTCTTTTGAGAGAGTCTCACTTTTTCTCCCTGAGTAGAGTGCCATGGCGGCACACAGTTCACAGAAACCACAAACTCTTGGGCTCAAGTGATCCTCTTACCTCAGTCTTCTGAGTAGCTGGGACTATAGCACCCACCATGACACCTGGCTAGTTGTTTTTTTTGTTTGTTTGTTTCTTCTGTTTTCAGTAGAGATGGGGTCTTGGTCTTGCTCAGGTTGATCTCAAACTCCTGAGCTCAGGTGATCTACCCGCCTCAGCCTCCCAGAGTACAGGACTATAGAAATGAGCCACCGGCACAGCCAAGTTTTTCTCTTTGTTTTAAAAATATTTTTATCATAAGCATTTATCTATATTTTAGAAAAATATTGTAGACATCTTACTCCATGAAGTAATGGCTTCCTGCACCTTACTTTGCAGTTTTAAACATTGTCTACCTTTTCTGCAAATATGTTTGTACTCAGATGTATGTCCCCACTTTGTCACTGTTGTGTCATCTAGATTCTTAGGGTTATAATTGTTAATTCAGAAATCCGTGAGGATCCAAAGGCACCTGAGTCTCACTGCCAACTGCTGCCACTGAAGGTGTCCCCCCTCCCACTGTGACTGAGGGGGGGACCTGTGGGCCCTTAGCAGAGGAACCGTTGCTGGGTGTGCATGAGCAGCTCAGGTCTTGGCAGGGTCATTTCCATGATACGTGTGTTTGGTTCTTATCTACTTTTATTTCTGCAAACTCATTGTCTATGCATGCATGTGAACAGAGGCTTATTCTGTAATTGGTCCCTGAAGTCACCATGGTGCAGGGGATGAGGCAGGTCTCAATTCTGTTCAAAAGAGGCAGTATCTTCACTATAGCCCAAGTGTGCTCAGACAGGCAGGACCTGCCGGGGTAGAGGCTAGCCAGAGTGTGCCCCCTGGAACCACCAGCTATGCGTCCTTGGACAGGCCTTGCTGACCCTCCCTTTCCCATTGGGAAGTGGGTGCGATAATGAAACCCAGCATGTCAGTGGTCACAGGACTGTGTGACTGAATACAAATGAAGACCCTGGATAGCTCCTGGAACAGAGAAATACTAGCCATGATTTGATCTAATTGTCCTGGTGCTACACATTCTCTTCCGAGGAAAGGAAGGTTACCAATTCTACCAGCGTCTTGAACACCAGCCTGCATTCATTTTCTTGGCCTGCTATAACCAAGTACCACAGAACAGGTGACTTATACAAAACAACTTGATTGTCTCTCACTGCTGGAGAGCATAAATCTGAGACCGACTTGTTGGCAGGGTTGGTTTCTCCCGAGGCTTCTCTCTCTGGCCAGCAGATGTCTGCCTTCTCCCTGTTTTCACGGGAGGGTCCCTCTGTGTGTCTGTGTCCTACCTAATCTTCTCTTGGGAAGACACCAGTCAGATGGGATTACTATTCTCCCTGTGACTTCATTTTGCCTTGATCACCTCTTTAAAGGCCATGTGTCCAAATGCCATCTCATTTGGAAGTACTGAGGGTTAGGATTCACATGTGCAATCTCGGTGAGTGACACAGCCCACAACCACAGGTCAGTGCTGAGCTGCCAGCAACTTATCACCTGCCTTCACTTTTCAAAGGTGAGGGCTCTTTGCACTCTTCCCTTTGTGTACTTAATCAATTACCTCTCTGATTCCTTTGATTAGAGTGTGTGAGGCTTGCATATCTCTCTTGCTCCATGATCAAAGTGCTAAAATAGTCTTCATGTAGGCCTTTTTTATTCTGGTCAGTTGTAGAATTTCAGCCTTTAAGGTAAGTTGCATTCATCAAACTTAAGCTAGAATGGATATGCAAAGGAAACTGAAATGTTAATGATTACATTTCCTCAGGTAATGAGAGCAAAGTGACTGGCCAGTAGGCTGAAATGAATTTGGAGAACACTTTTGAAGAATGGGGATGTGTTTCATATGGAAATGTTAGCATTAGGAGTTACTAATTAATCCCTTCATGCACCTATGTCAGGCCCTTCCTCTTGTCTAGTGATCCAAGCAAACATCAAAGACAAGCAGAAGAAGAGTAATCGCAAAATGCAGGGACAATGCAGGGCAGAGGTGTGCTATGGGGAATATTCACCCTAATTAAAAAAGGCTGATTGCTGTCTACTCAAAGGACTTCTTGGGGGAAGTGGAGTCCAGGGCATCGTAGAGTTGCCAGAAGATGAGGCCCAGTGGACAGTAAGAACATCCAAACACCATGTTTAAAAGAGAAAGGGCTGTATTCCAGCCAGCTGATCAATGGCACAGAAGAATTCAAAATGGCCATGCTCCCCGACTGGCTCAGTCTTCCCCATTGTATCCTTAGTCAAAAAGTTCTGGCCGCAGAGCACAGTGGCTCACGCCTGTAATCCCAGCACTGTGGGAGGCTCAAGCGGGAGGATTGCTTGAGCTCAGGAGTTGCAGGCTTGTCTGAGCGAGAGTGAGACCCCAACTCATGAAAAAAATTGAAAAACCCAGCCAGGTGCCACAGCAAGAGCCTGTAATCCCAGCGGCTTTGGAGGCTGAGGCAACAGGATGCCCACAGCCCAAGTTTGAGGTTGCAGTGAGCTAGGACCTCATTGCACTCTGCTCAGGGCATAGAGTAGAACTCTGTCTCAAAAAAAAAAAAAAACCAAAAAAACAAACAAAAAAAACCCGCAAATGAATAAAAAGAGCAAGACAAAAACATTCTGGCCCAAGAGTACCTTTCTCATTGGTCAGTTTGAATCAAGCTGGAGAAGCAGGCTTGGCTTTTATAGAACTGGACTTTTACAGAAGCAGAAGCAAGTGTTAGTTTCCAGGTACCAGGAAGTTAAGTTTCTACAAATTCCTAAGAGCTGAGTCACCACAGGGAGGACCTTGCAGGTGTGTCCTTGGAGCCTTTGAGAAGATCTCTGTTCTCTTAAACCTTACTTTTTCTAGGTATCTCCTCTGGCCCTGGATCAGGCCCAGGATGGGGCGCTAGAGCCCTACCTTCAGGCAGGCAGGCATCACTGCTTTGTATACAGGGTGTATATGGGAAATATTAACATTGAATAATATTTTATATTGTTAATAATTTGCTAAGATGTTCTATTATAGAATCTTCATATAAATAAGAGGAGAATTATACTCTTTTTAATTGTATCTTGTTTTTTAGGAACTTTTGGTTTAAGGAAACCGTGGTATTTCCCCTTTACTTCCCCTTACTGGAAGAGCCTGGGTGGCTTGCTGGAGAAGAGGCAGCACTCTCTGAGTTCTGGTCTGTTCTTCTTCAACGAGGACTTTGGAAACAAAGGTTGGTAAGGTGTGGTGCTATCCAATGCATATATTTTTCCTCTGGTCAGTTTTGGTTTTCGCATTTTATTCCTGGTCCATCTTTTGCGACTGTGTGTTGTATACTAGAGACTCACTTTTAGGCTGTCTCAGGCTGGGAAACAGTTACAAGGCAAGTTTCAAGTAGTGTTCTGGTAGTGTTCCCTCAGTGCAGCTCCAGAAGGCCAAGGACCCCTACCTTCTCACTGTGTTATTCAGCATCCTCTCATTATCACATTTGTGCATATATATATGTGAAATGAAATAAAATCTTAAGGCCCCCCAACAGCTGACTGAATGGGTCCCCTCTTGGTGGAAGGGATCTCTAAAACTGAGTTGCTAGCCTTGAGAAGGGAGGTCACACTGGCCTCCCTTTTTGGAGGCATTCTTTGCAACTCATTAACCAGCCCAAGGCCATGCAAGACAAACCTTCAGGTCCTCAATTTACTTAGCAAACCTCTTGGATGTGGGTATTTGACCTGTGGCTTGTGTCTGATTAGCAGACTTACTTACTTAACTTACATAGTCCAGGCCTTTAGACAAAGCTTCATTTCTTTAACCAATTACAAATCAAAGAACCTTTAAACACATCTTTAACCTTTATGAGCCTCCCACCCCTACTTTGAGATGTCCCACCTTTCTGGGTCAAACCAATGTATGCCTTCCAAGTATTGATTTACAACTTTGCGTGTAATTCCTGTCTCCTTGGAGTGTATGAAACTAAACTGCAGCCCCACCACAGTGTGTCCACTTGCTCAAGGCTTCAATGAAGGGCTCCAGGCAACGTTCCTCAAATTCACCTCAGACTAAACCTCTTTACATTATTTTACACAATTTGGCTTCTTTTCCACTGACATATTATAATTGAGTAAAATTGAAGCTTTAGTCCGAAAGTGAATATGTGTAAAGAGTAAGAGCTAAAGTGGGTATCCATAGGGCATAATGCACTATAACATTGTTAATTGAATTGAATTTTTAAGTTTTAGTGCTTTCATGAGAGAAATGACCACTGCCCTTTGCAAATAGGGCTCATGGTGCCCATCCCTCCGTGGTCCAGCCCCAGCACATTCCTGCAGATGTAGATACACAGACACTTGCAGAAAAGGACTACTTCCAAGGAATTATGTGGAAACACAGCTGCGTCACCCAGAGGTGGAGAGGTGGACAGGCTCCCCTCCCCCCATGGTGGTTTTATACTATGGGTGTGTTTATGTTGGAAAGTGAATTTTCTTTTTGACTAAACAAGTAACATATGAATTTTTAAAGAAAAATTTTAACATATCAATAGCACCTATCAACTCTCACCTCCTCAGGAGACTATTTCATGTGGATATTTTGATGTGTAACTAATCTACCAGTCATCTTTTCTCTGTATATACACAAACACACGTGTGTATTTTTATTTTTATATTTTTAAAAAATGGTTATCATAAGACTTTGCAACTTTATAGTCAGTGATAGCTTTAACTTTTGCCAGTCTAGAATCTATTTATTGCTTTTGGTGTTACTGAAAGCTCAGCACTTGTCCTCAAAGCTGCATCAGGAAAATGAGAACAAGTGGTTTGAGGAGAAGGAAAGGGTACATTTATTACTTAGTTGGCAACAAGGAGACTTGTGATCTCAAAAGGCCAAATTTCAGAACAGAAGCAGAAACACAGAGCTTTTAAAATGGAAGGCTTGTTGTTATTCAACTCTAATTAACGGGTTAATAATTCTAATCCTCCTATCTCCTTGGAAGACAAACCATGACCTCCACCCATCTGGGAGGCCCCAGGGCTACTCCAGCCTGCTCCAGTCCTGCGTCTCCATCTCACACAGTTCAGCCGAACCATTTCCTGTAGCATGAAGAAAAAAAATGCTTCCCTGCTCTTCCCTACCTCAGCCCAAGTCAGGGATCTGCTTCAGTTTCCAAAAAGCATGAGGGAAGTTTTGAAGAGACAGAAAACATTTTTGCCATTTTTTTTTCTAGGCTGTTCCCTCTGTTACATTGGTAAAGAAAAATTTCTAAATTGCTCTGTATATTTCACAGAATTAGAATTCAATTTTAAGGGAGAACTCTGAGTTAATAAGTATAAGAATGATTTCTGAGGTTTTGAAGTCCTCTGTTACCGGATGAAGAGGGTCCAACTACCTATTAATGTCAGCCGATATGCAGAGACAATGATAGGTCCATTGAAGTTTTTTTGTCAGAAGGCTGACAATCCCAGAGAACAGTGAGTAGCCTTTCTAAGGCTCTTTTTCCATTTCCAGCAGTTTTATACCATAACCCATGACCCATAATAAACAATAATTGACATAACGTGTGACTCAAAACAAAATTCCAATTCAAAAGTTAATCTCCTAAATCATTTGCCTTAAGCTACTCAAGGTATGCACTTTTAGATTAAAACTGAATTTACAAAACAGCTAGCATGGCAGACATGAGGTGAAGGTGTAGGTGAAGGTGAAGTGTAGGTGCTACGTGACCTTCACCAACCAGACCAGCTGTGTTGTCTCAGCCCTCGCCTGAATAGCTCCATCTTCTTCTCACTACATGTGCTTTCGTCATGATGACTGTACCTCTCCCTCACAGGGTCACCACCACAAAACAAGGAAGGAGAGCTTGAAGGAGGTTCCCCGGGTGTCGTCCTGGTGTCTGTGACCAAGGAATATGAAGGCCACAAGGTGGCAGTCCGAGACCTCACCCTCACCTTCCATAGAGACCAGATCACGGCCCTGCTGGGGACGAATGGTGCTGGGAAAACCACCATCATGTGGGTCCCATTTACCTTCTTGAATGTTGGGCATTTCACTCCTAAAGTATCAGTTTACCTGAGAGACAAAATATTTGATTTCTCTTTCCTCTTTTTCAAAAATGTTGAGTCTCAATGTAGAGTTTAGAGACACAGGAGAAAGACAGAGCACTCTCACTAGAGCGACCCTGCATCCTCAACCACATAGGCGCCCTTTAGGCCCAGAATAGGGCCCAAGGGGTAGGGGGGGTTGGTATTATTTTTGTTTCGTTTAAATCTTTAATTATTTTATTTTCTACCAATAATTTACCATGTTTTAGTCTTTGAAAGTCGTGTGCCACTTTTTGTTTTCATCCTACTAAGGGTAATTTTGTCTGCATATCTATGGGAAGATGAATATCAGAATGATATTTGCAATTTTTTTTAAAAACCTGACCATTTTTCTTCTTCCTGTTCTGATTTTCATGTGATTGTGTTCTTGTTAAGGCTGGGGTTTTGGTTTAGGATCCAGTGGCTCCAGATTTGATTAAAGAATCACATCACATAACCCAAGAGGAACAAAGAGTTCAAACATTCATGGCCTTGAGCTGGCTATGAAAATGGTGGCTTAAGGTTAAACCACTAAAATTATGAAATATTTGTTTTGAACAAATTAATTTCTCTTTGTAATTTTTCTCACTGAATATGTTAAAATTGGGAAAGTGAAAGATACACAAATAATGACTCAGAAAGCCAGCTCTCCACATCCTACGTTTCTTACAAGGAAAACCTAGAGAGCTTCTTTAGCAGATCAAAGAGAATTTGGGATTTCTCTCTGTTTCAAGGTTCACTGTTCACCTTGCTTTTAGTGTATGTTTGTAGTATATTTTGATTCATCCTAAGTGGTCATCTCTTCCTGAAAGTTCTTAGATGAGAGGCTGAGAGACAAACTTACTTCATGTAAAACAAAAATCTTTGAGACTCACGTGGGACATGTATAAACTATTCTATGGTATCCCCCAAATAGGCTTGAAAATAATATAGCAAAGCACTGCTCAGCAAATGTGTTCAGGCATAGTTTAAGTGCAGTAGACAGTATCTATGGAAGGATGCAAGCTGGTGAGTTATGACATGTGTTTGGTTAATAGCAGAACAAACACCCTGGAGAAGATGCAGAGGCTTTTTGTCCTCCTCTGAGATATCCATTGCCCTCCTTCCATCCCAGCCCCTATATGACCATTGATCTGCTATTTGTCACTATTTTATAATTTCATATAAATTGAATCATGCCTGGCTTCATTCACTCAGCAATCTGCCTTGGAGACTCATCAGTGGCAGCGATGCATCAGCAGCCTGACCCTTCGGATTGCCCAGTGGTCGTCTGCAGGGAGGCACCACAGTCTGTGTCTTCATCTGGTAGTGCACATGGAGGCTTTTCAGTGATTGTGAACAAAGTTGGTACAAACATTTATGCACATAGTAGATACACGTTTCACTTTTTAGAAATAACAAAACAGTTTAAAGCCTAACTAATACACTTCCTGCGGCAAGGAAGCGGAACACAGCAATCCTCAGGCTCCCTTTGGTAAAGTCAGCCAAATGAGTTCATGGTGACAGGCCGCTTGAGTTCTCTTGGTTTTGACATGGACAGATTGCCTCTCAGACGTGGAAGGAAGACTGGCTGCGGGGGTGGGAGTGTAGGTTTGCATTTCTGTTTTGCATATGTCTAATTAGGAGGACTTAGGTAGATGTCTTTAGCTTGTTCCCTCATCTGTAAAAACAAAGTTGGTTGTTAACCTTTCCAAAGTTTTATATAACTGTAATAATCTCTGACCACAATTCAGATGTCCCCAATTTATGATGCCTGGACTTAGGATTTTTGGACTCTATGATGGTATGACAGTGATGCACATCAAGTGGAAACTGTACTCTGAGTGCTCATATGACTATTTTGCTTTCTATTTTCAGTATAGTATTGAATAAATTAAATGAGATGTTGAATAGTCCGTTTTAAAATAGGTTTTATGTTACATGATTTTATTCAATTCTAGGCTAACATAAATTTCTGAACATGTTTAAGGTAGGTGAAACTATGATGTTTGGAAGTTTAGGTGTACTGAATACATTTTCAATTTATAGTATTTTCAACTTACAAAGGGAATATCAGGACATAACCTGATCATAAGTCAAGGAGCATCTGTACATCATGTGGGAGTACAGACATTATCACAGGCTCACATTTCTGAGATTAACAAACCCAAATTCCCATTAAGCTCCTCACAGCTTTTAAGTTCTATAGGAAACAGGTCAGTAGAAGGCATGTGCTCTGGGCAGGATGTGTGCATCTCCCTGGAGCCAAATGAGCTGCTGAAGTCCAGAGCATCAGCGACTTGTGTCCTAGCCTGATGGTATTTCTTCTGGCAGATCCATGTTGACGGGGCTCTACCCTCCCACTTCTGGAACCATCACCATCAATGGCATGAGCCTGCAGACAGACTTGTTGAGGATCAGAAGGGAGCTGGGAGTGTGTCCACAGCAGGACATCTTGTTGGACAGCCTCACCATCCGGGAACATCTGTTGCTCTTTGCTTCCATAAAGGCGCCTCAGTGGACCAAGAAGGAGCTGTACCAGCAAGTCAATAAGTTAGTAAAGTGATCTCTTTGCTCCTCCTGTTTCTGCCCCTTGTATGAGTGAAGACAATAGACAGAGACACTTTAAAAAACAATTTCTGTCTACATTTATTAGAGTGTTAACTCTGGAATTATGACATAGCACCAACAGGGGGAATGCTAGAGAAGTCTTTGCAGGGAGGACATTGAATTTGATTTGATCTGTCTTTAGAGTGGGAAAGAGATGGGCAAACATGGGGAAGTTTGGCACAGGTTGTTGGTGGAATTTTGTGTGCCTGAATCAAAGGGTTCATCTGGGTGTTTTGAAATGAAAAGAATGCTAAGGCAGGCAGGGACCCTGGTTGTCAGAACCTTACTGGTCATGTGAAGGATTTGAACCTTTCTGTGTGGGCAGGCATTCGTGAGCTGGGGATATGCTGAGTCTGAGATCTGGCAGATAGCCATCTCTTGCTGTACCTTAGTGTTGTAGCCTTGTGTGGGATGGCATAGAGTGGCCACTGCACACAAGGTGACAACAGCCTGATTGGTGACTGTGTTAGTGGGGTTTTGGGCCAGAAAGGGCTGGATTTGAAGACTATTCAAAGTTGGAAGAATTAGGTCATGCAGACCAACTGGTCGTACAAGGCAGGAGGAAGTGAAGCAGTCCAGGAAGGGTCACAAAGATTAGGTAGGATATTGGTGGGTCCACACAGAAGCCTGAGCCCTGTGCTGAAATGAAACAGCAAACAAAGATGCTGGTGAGAGACCGTGTATGGCAGAGAAAGGAAGCGGGCATCCAGGACGGCAGCAAAGCAAAAGGAAGACTCTCCAGTCTCTTGGGACTGATAGAGGCTTATTGGAGGAGAAGGGACAGATGGTTATTCCTGGAAGACAAGGGTTGTTTGAGAGTTATGACCTTGGAGGGATAGATTGGAGGGGAAAGTGAACAGTTGAGTCACAGAAAGCAGCTGGGAGAGGAAGTGACAATCCAGTGGAGGGGCCCTCAATTCAGGAGACAGTGGTTAAATGGGCAGGCTGTGTGTCCTTTGCTGTGCCTTGTCCCCTCAGGAGGATGTGGCTCTGGGGCTGGGATTGCATCCTTGCCAATCCCAATGGACAGACTTGGCAAAGCAGAACATCAGCCCGGGCGTGAGTGTGCAGCATAAGTGCATATAAATGGTGAGTGACTGCACACACCTAAGAGGAAAAGAAGTTAATGAACTCCTATCCATTGTCGCTATCTTGCAATAACTTTGCAAGTTTTATATTTAAAAAACACATATTTATAATATCTATTTAATGAAGTTAGGGTGTACATTATTTTGTTCTGTGTGACTTGACTTCTTTATCACTGTTTCATGTATGTGCTTCCGGGTGGTGGAATTCTATCTTGATGTTTCTAGCACTAGAATACTGAGAGAAAGAGGAATGATTGGTCACATTATTACATATTTTATGTACCTTTGGTGACCTTATTTATTGGAAATGAAGAGAGGCATTTGCAGTGAGGATGTGCCCATCCATCCTTCCATCTGTTCTGCTTGTCTGTCCTTGGGCGTGATGGAGTGTCTCCATGTCCAGCAGTGTGGTCACTCCTTCCTTGTGCCTTGCACAGAGAGGCGGGGCTGCAGCTGGTCTTCCTGTCGGCTGCAGGATTTTCCTCCTGTGCCTACAGTTCCTTCTGCTCACCTCTGTAAGGCTCATAGTCCCTGTCACCCCAGTCCAGCACCTGCTCTTGCTAAACCACTGTGTAGCCCCAAAGAGTCCCCACTTTCAGCCAGGTCTCCACAGTCTTCCTGTTCCCTGACCCAGATTATTCTCCACATGGCAGCCAGTGCTCACTAGAAACATGTCCAGGTGCTGGGCCTTCTCTGCTCACCATCATTCAAAGACTCTCCACCACACCCAGTATGAAATCCAAAGGTTATGGTGGCCTATAATAATGCGATTTATGGTCTTGTGCCTATTGTCCCAGATTTATTATAAGTATCCCCTCCTCTACCTCAAAATCCTCCTCCTTTAGGCAACAAATTACAGGGCCCTGCCCCCCATTCTTGTTTCACTTCCCACCTCTCTCATCCTTCACTGCCCTGTGCCAGCCACTAGTCTTCTTGCAGCTCCCTAGACACACAAAGCAGGGGCCCGGCCTCATGGCCTTTGCACTTGCTGCTCCCTCTGCCTAGCCTGCTCTGGTGTCACCCTCTGCTTGGTGTGCCACTGCTTCACTGTGCTGGGGCTCTTCCCAGGCATTTTATCAGAGAAGACCTTCTGAGCATCCCGACTAGACATCACTGCCTGCCTTTGGCCCTTGTACATCCTCTCCATTTCTCATACCTTGATTTTTTCCCCCATAACATTTGTTACCACATAACATCCTATTTGTATTTGTCTTCTTTTTCTCCCTACCAATTATAAATCCTTGAGTGTGAGAATGTCATCTGTTTGGTTTACTACAGTATAAAAATGTTCTTTGAGTTGAACAACGGAATGAATGAATCGCAATATATTCCTACTGGCAATCCTCCATGTCACGTCCTCTCCTTGTCTATAGAATGATGCTCACTACTTTAGGTTGTAGATGCAAAGGACTTTGCCCTCTTTTCTCATCCTAACTTTCCAGCCTTTATCCTGCTGCTCCTCATTCATTCATTTCACATATTTTATTTATTCAATCTATGGTCAATGATGTGTGTTAGTTTGAGAAGGCTGCCATAACCAAGTACTACAGAATGGGTCTCTGTAGCAACAGATATTTATTCTCTCTTCACCATGCAGGTCCTGAAGAGTATTGAGAGATCTGGTAAATGGCCACCTAATTGGCAAGTCAGATGCTCTTTCTAGTGGCTGGTGGAGGATGGGGTAAACTGGAGCAAGCCCATATTGGGAGGGCTAAAAGAGGTCCACAGAAGGAAAGGAGGAAGCGAGGGCATCATGACAATTCCCTAATTTTTGGTTTGGACAAGTAGAATGTTTCTCAAAATATAGATGATCCTTAACAACACAGATTTGAATGCTTCAGGTCTACTTATGTGCATATTTTTTTCAATATAAGTTATGCCAAGTGTGTGTACCTCTCTTGCCTCCATTTCCACATCCTCCACCTCTTCTGTCTCACCCACCTCTGAGGCAGCAAGAGCATCTTCCTCCTCAGCCTACTCGACATGAAGACGACGAGGGTGAAGTCTTTAAGATGATCCATTGGCACTTAAAGAACAGTAAATATTCTTGCCTTACCTTTTGTGTTTGTTTTCTTGGTGTGCTGAGAAATCCTGAGACCCTTCCGGAGCAGACTCCTCCCACTATGGCCCTGGAATAGTGTGACACGTGTGGGCTAGGGCAGAAAAGAGCACCCTGTAACCTCCCTCGGGTGGCCCACAAGGGGCCTTCTGCATCTAGACTCACCTCTGTGGCTGGCTACCTGCATTGTATAAATGAGGACTTTAGTTTGTTAACACTTTATTTTTGTACTGAGTGCTACTATGGTTATATGCCAGGCATCTGACATGGGTGATGTCATGCAAGTATCTTTCTCATGTGACACAGGAAGGGCTGATGGTCAAGGGGATGGAGCCAACAGCTCAGGCATGGAAGCCAGGATCTGACCCAGGTTGCTCAGGTGTGAAGTCCACTCTCCTCTGCTTCCTTTGGGCTGGTTGCGATAACACCTGAGCATGGAGGCCTCAGTGGGCAGATTCTCTGGCACATTTCTAGTGTCCTTACCCTGACTGAAGTGTGGATACCCATCAGGGAATTTCAAGGGTCTGAGAAGTGAAGGCAACTTGTCAATTGCTCTCCCTGGGTCTAGGCAATATAGATGACAGCAGTTAGTTTAAAAATGTGCTGGGCCCTGGGAGGCACTTTGGGTGGGCCACGTGGGGATAAAGCAGCCTGGATGCTGTGGAACACGCCTCTAAGCATCTGCCCCTTAAGGATTCTCACCTGAAGAAAGTTGTCTTCAGGTTAAGATGGAGCTAATTGCACACACAGGATCCTAGAGGGGCAAAGTTAGGTGATAGTAGGGAGGTTCTTCTGTTGGTGAAAAGAAAACAGGAATATGGTGGAGGCACATGCTCCTCACAGGTCAGGGGCTAAAAGTGAGCATCAGGGAAAAACCACGCTCGAGTCACTCCCTAGTTTTTCGGTGGAGAGCAGCATGGGAAGATGACAAACAGCTTCTGCAGAAAGGCACCACTGCGCTGTGTGGGCTCACTCCCCACACTTGGAAGGGGTCAGTACTTGTCCGGACGATCTCAAGTCAGAATGCATGGCCATGTTTAGAGACCAGCTATGTGGCAAGTGCATGTGTAGGTCAAATCTCTCTCTGGGTAGATGCCCCCACTATGGGTGTCACATGCAAACTAAGGCTGGATTGAGGGGAAAAACCCTCAAGAGACAGAGTCCACTGTGTAAAGTGGTGGATGGCACCACAGATTGATTTCAGTAGTTACCCCATCTCTCAGAGTTCTCCTTGTTGTCATATCAAGCGGGCATTCTTTACTACTGCAAGGTGAGCTAGTTCCCATGTCCCACTATCTTCAGAAAGTGTCTGGTAATCATAATAATATTGATGATGTGGACCAGGCATCCTCAAACTACAGCCCATGGGCCACATGCAGCACACTTAGGACAATTATCCAGCCTGCCAGGTGTTTTTGCCGCAGCTGCCTGTCCTGCTTAGCAGCCGACTTGTCCCAGGGCCTGCAGTCCGGCCCTTCAGTGGTCTGAGGGACAGTGAACTGGCCCCCTGTTTAAAAAGTTTGAGGACCCCTGAATTATGGACACTTGGATATACAGGGAGATGTTCATTTGGTGCTGTTTAAACCTATCTTGAAGTTGAGAGGACACATGATGAGAGATGGCTGAATGTTATATGGAGTAGATAGTACTAAATAGCAAATTGGGTATGTGCAATATAATTTCTCCTAAAAAAGTTACAGGTCACCTATTTTAATTTAAAAATGTATCTATTGGACCACAGTGAACTCTACTGTGATTGTGACTGGGGGCTTCACTCAAGCATCTAACGATGTAAAACAGGCTTCATCTTCTTATTTCGATGCCTGGCAACCTTAATGATTATTGGTTCACAGCATGTCACCTAGCAACAAAGCCACTTTGCACGAAAGCAGTCAGAATGAGATCATGTTTTGGGACAGTGGTTCTCAATTAGAGAAAGGGAAAACTGAAAACACCTGATTTGTGTCCCACTCGCTGCTTATTAGTCTCCTGTAGCACCACTTGTCTCCTCAGTGTGCAGCTTTGTTAAAATGTGAGTCCGAGGGAGGTGGCCTCCCTAGTAGAATCTTTAGAGTAAACATTTGTCAGCATCAATCACTGCTATTTTTGCCCTTAATTTAGCCTAGAGAAGATAAGTGTAGTCAAGAGAGGAACTCTGTGAGACCTTTCAGTCAATGTGATGTTATTATGCATCCGACCTTACCATGCAGAATTCTGGCATGCACTAGGGAACTCAGGTTGGAGGAAGATCTGTTTGATGGAAGTGAGATCGTTGAGGGCATAAGTGTGGGGAGGGGAGAAGAGAGGGCAAAGGATTGAGCCCTGGATGCTCCAACATGAAGGGTATGGAGAGATGAGGATGGATCAGCCCAGCAGGCAAGAGAGAGAAACCAATAGGGAAGGAGGAAGATGAGGCAGTGAAACCAAGTCTACTAAGGATGAGGGAGGGATCAGCACATCAAATGAGGGTCAAGAAAGATGAACTCTGAGAAAATGACCCTTGGGCACAGTATGTGGCTTCCAGGAGAGCAATTCTGGTGGTGTCATGGAACTGAAGGTCTTACTGAAGTCAGTTAATGAGAAAATGGATGCAGAGGAGAAAATGGATGCAGAGCTGGCAATAGCATGTCCTCCTAGGAGTTTTGCTGCCAAGGGGAGCAAATAAGTGGGATGACATCAAGAAGGAAAAGTGAGTCCAAAAGACCAATGTTTCCAAGACAGAAACCAAGCAGGGTCTTTGTACATAGAGGATTGGGGTGAGCTAGAGAGCAGATGGTTTTCTGAAACGTGGTGCAAGACAGGACAGGCAAAGGGGTCTAGACAGGAGGAAAGGGATGGACTCTCCTGACCCAAGACCATAGCTGGCTCAGTTATGGTAATAGGAGACAGAACAGAGAGTGGAGGGTGTTTCTATTCAACTTCCATGTTTTTCAGAGTCATGAGAAATAATTGTAATGATGACCATGGTCTTTAAACTCAGAGAAAAAGGGAGAAGGACGTCATGGTGGTGATGGCCAGGGAAAAACTGGTTTTGTGTATTTAAGTGATTGCTGGAAGCTAGGATCAGCTGGTGGTCAGAAGAGGCTGCATGGGATCGAGACTCTGCAGAGTTGTGGTTGTGAGTGAGCGGGATCGGTGGGGATGACAGGAGGATGTGCTACATCAAACATCAAAATCTCCAGGAGTAAAGGTAAGAGGACTGGAGAAAGGCCCAGCACACAAGCACAGATTCAGGAGTAGGTGGGTGGTAGTAACAGGGAGGGCCGTGTGATGTGCTCTGATGGGCTGACATGCCAGGCTGGGGCTCTCCAGGGAGGTGGCGATTTGTAGACTGAGGTCACAGTGAGATGCAAAGAGTCACGTCTATACCTCATGAAAGAAAGCCGATAGATTTATGAAGGGGGTGTGTTTGGCTTAAGCCCATCTCTCCTGTCTTACCTGAGGTCATTATACAGCTTTCTCTTTACTTCAAGGATACATTTATTTTATTGTTGTTGTTCTTTGCATGTGCCATTGTTTCTCTCCAAAGTCCCAGAAAATGCTTTTCCTCCTTTTCTGGGACACATAGTTCAAGTGTCTCCATGTCCCCACCCCCCATCATGCTTCTGGATGACTTCTTTCTCTTCTCTCTGGAGTTGGAGAAAATCCCCATAGCATCTGGGAGTTTATCATTAACTTTATCATATGTTGTTATAATTTCTTGTCTGCCTTTCCCACTAGACTCTGAGTTTCTTAAATCAGAGACAAGATTGGATTTATTTCTCTAGCCCTAGCAGGTGGCAGGTGCCATGCATTGTAGGGGTTCAATAATCATTTCTTGAATAAATGAATGGATGATTGAAGAGCAGCATCTAAAACACATTCTCTGGTGTGTAATTGAGACTTAATATGAGAAGTTTCTTCCTCCTCCTGCTGCTTACCCAATGTTCTCAACCCTTTTGAGGAGAAAATTCAGAAATTTAACTGCAGAAATTGTTTTTTGTATGCTACATGTCAATAATTAGAAAAATGCTAGCCACTAGATAACTTCAGACTTTGAAATGTTTAAAAAATTCACCAGGAAAAGAAATCTGGTTAGTATTCACTAATTGTTATCTTCTTTAATTTTTAAGTTTGAGCTAAGCACCTGAACTGTGTCCGGAAACCAGCAGGTGGACCTCCCTAAGGGAGAGTCTTCTGGGGGTCTGGCCAGGGGCATTTTGTTTATGTTTCCGGGATAACATGTATCTCAGTGTGTTGTCACTGGGTATGTAAACGCGATTTCTCCACACGTGTCTGTGTCCTGGAGAAGGATCTGTGCTTTGCTACCCTTTGACTCTTCCCTCCCCCATATACCACCAGTGTGCCCAGCACCTATGATGCCTTTGGCCCTTTGTTCAATCTTGCAAGAATTTATAAAATACACATGAATGGAATAGACTTTTTCTCACTCCCTCCACCCCATCATTATCACCCATCATGTCCTTGGGAATTAAAAAAACAAAAAAAATGAAATAAGGGGAAAATTTTGCCAGAAAATATGTTAAAGTTCAAAATGCATCAGAACAAATGGACTTCTACCCAAAACAGAAGCACCAGTGCAAAATGAAACACGCTGTCAGTTTCCTGCCAGCCAGGTGCACACAGGATACCAGAAAGCAAGCCTCAGCCTCTCTGAACAAATTTGCCTGGAGAAGAGGGTACCTTGTGCTTACCTTGTGTCTGGCACCTGTGTAGGGAATGTGCAGGTGGACATCAGGTGGCACAGGGCCAAAACTGCTCCTGATGCATACTGTGGGGTCTGTGAAGAGGTGGTGAGCTTCCAGTGCGGTGAGGAATTGCAATGAGGCAGTGCAGGGGGGCCACCAGAGAGGAGCCAATGGAAGAAACAGAAAGCTTTGGGTTTAACACTGATGCGTAACCAGAGCATTCATCTTTGAGAACGTCTGACATCTTACTGCCTTGTTTTCTTGTCTATTGGTCTTCTCCATTGACTGACCACTGGTTAATGTGTTAAAAAACTGGGCACGATCCATTCACTTCCTTTGTGATATCTGGATCACCCACATGGGAAGGTATTGGTAGACTGTGGGGTCAAGCAATCATCTGCTGAAACTGAAATATCCGTCTTCCTCCTTGTAGCTGGATGTTGTCAATAATGGGAATATCTGAAAAGCAGTGGCATAAATGACTTCCATAAATCTTGGTTGAGATTTAACCAGCATAAAAATGCACTGTAAGACTCAGATGAGACATTTAGCACATAGCTTGAGCACTAGGCACTGAGAGCCTGGCTTGAGCTCTTTCTGGACCAGGATGGAAATTATATAAATAATGAAACAGGTATGAACAATTTACAGCCAAACAATGGGTTTCACTCTATTCTTTCCTTAGATTCTGGAGTCTTTTAGGACCTAAGTGTTCTTTACAGCCAAAGAATGGGTTTCACTCTATTCTTTCCTTAGATTCTGGAGTCTTCTAGGACCCAAATGTTCAACCATATAGAACTGGTCTCATCCTCCTCTGCCTGCCTAGCCTTCTGGCCCTGACAGCAGAGTGACACTTTTAGTCATGGCCATCGGGGAGTTATAAGCACATCTGTAGCTCAGGGGAGGACTACACTGTGGTCCGAGTGGTCAGGGAAGGCTTCAGGAAGGCATCATTTAAACCAGGTCTTTAACAATGAGGAAGATTTAAGTAAGTGATGGGGAGTGGTGAGTATTCAGGTGGTGCTGACAAAGCAAGGTGGTGAGTGCAAGCTATTTGTGAGGAAAGAGAGTGGACCCACAAAAGGGGAGCAAAGAGTTACATAGGGAGAACCGTGTGCCTGGTTTCGAGGTCTGGAGCTGCAAGCCCTATGTGAGAGAATAAGAGACTTATTCACGCATTAATGGCAACTGATAATTTATATACTGTGCACGTGGCATTTCACTGAAACTTCCCAATTAGTCAGGAAGGTGGGGAAATCCAAATTTAGTGCATGGTGGGCTAGTGAGTTAAGGGGTTCTCTGGTGGGTGCTAAAGCTGGACTTGGCCTTGTTGCTTCTGATTGCACTGGTGCCAGCCATTTCGCCACTCTCCATACTGGCTGGGGAAGACAGGGCCCTCCTTGGCAGGAGGCATAAATGAGATGAGGAAGGGCTTCTCTGAGAGAAGAGACACTCAAGTATTTCCAAGCACAACACGTGGCAGGTCTGCTGAGTGGCATGACATTTAGTCCATTGACGTGGTCCCATTTAGGCCTTGAGAGAGGCAGTGCCACTGTTGAAACTCAGGTGCATCCTTTTTTTTTTTTTTTTTTTTTGAGACAGAGCCTCAAGCTGTCCCCCTGGGCAGAGTGCCGTGGCATTACAGCTCACAGCAACCTCCAACTCCTGGGCTCAAGCGAGTCTCTTGCCTCCGCCTCCCAAGTAGCTGGGACCACAGGCGCCCGCCACAACACCCGGCTATTTTTTGGTTGCAGCCGTCATTGTTGTTTGGCGGGTCCGGGCTGAGGATTTGAACCTGCCACCTTAGGTGTACGTGGCTGGCGCCTTAGCTGGTTGAGCTATAGGTGCCGAGCCGAGACTCAGGTGCATCCTTGATGGATCTGTGATTTATGAAGATCTCAGCCACTGTTAAGTTATTATTTATGGAGTGAAATTCAAAACAAAGTCTTCAGGTTTTCAGGCGGAAGAACGAGGCCTACCTTCTTTTTTCAGAACTCTTCAGGATGTGGACTTGACCCAGCATCAGCACAAGCAGATCGGAGCGCTGTCTGGAGGCATGAAGAGGAAGCTGTCCATCGGCATTGCTTTCCTGGGCACATCGAGCACTGTGGTTCTGGATGAGCCCACCAGCGGCGTGGACCCCTGCTCCCGCTGCAGCCTCTGGGACATTCTGCTCAAGTACCGAGAAGGTAGGAGCCGGGCCGCCCTCTTCTTTCCATCTATAGTACTTGGCCCAGGAAAAGAATTGCTAGTGTCCGTGTAGAACTAAGTCATAGTCCAACAAAGAGATGTTATCCTTTACAGAAAAAAGTATATTTTTATAAGACTTTATAGAGATAGACTTGTCAGATAATATCTCTGTGGGCTCAGAATTGTGTACTTTGTGTTTAACTCCTAAACATCATACCAGCAATGACGTGATCCACATGCATTATGATTAGTGTTGAAACCACATTCATCTCAAGGGTAGATTATTAGAAGCAGCAGCCTAGTGATCATTTAGGACAAGGCCTTCTTTTCTCAGATGAGGAAACTGAGTCACAGACCAATGGGCATATAATTTACTCTGTGGACTGAAATTTGAAATAATAGGTCTTACGGACTTAAGAAAATCAAAGTTAATTTTATTGTGAACCCAGGTTGAGGACTGCAGCCCAGAACCAGTTTCTCTTCCAGGAAGGGTGACAGATGCGGATGGTACAGCCAAGGGGGTGTCCTCACAGTTCTGCGCCGTGCTCAGTGGTGCTGTGTGTGGGATAAGCAGGCGTGCAGTGAGTGGACGCGAGGTGAAGAGTTAAGAGCATGTAGGCGACGTAGGTCGGGGCGAGTGACTGCTTCCACCCTGCCTTTGTGCTCTGTGGGATATGGAAGCTGATGATCATCACTCACCAGGGAAGGTTTCAGGAGGGTTCAGCTTTGGTCCACAGGCCCAGTTTCTATGACCTGTGTGTCTGAGCTGCAGCCATCTCGGGCCACTCTAAACACTTTTTCTTTCAGAGATTCCTTTTTCTGACAGCTCATGGCTACAGAGACAGTTCACTACCAAAGGTGGGTGGAACTTGGGACTCTGGTCCATATTTCTCACCTCTATTATGGCTTACTTTCCACTGAGGGCATTTGAGGAGCAGTTAACTAATTTCTAACTTCTGATTCTTTCTGCACTCCTGACAGCTGGGACGTGTTGCTATATGTACTTTGTATAAAAAAACTCTCATTTGGAAAGAAACACCTCTCAGTGCTGGTAAACAAGTGTACAGGCATCAGTGGCAGGATTAATACAGAATCTCGTAAAATGTTGTTTTGCATTTTTCTTTTGCTTTTTTTTTTTTCATAAAAGACCTTCTGACTTGACCTTCACCTCCACTCTGCCTCTACCTCCCTGGGGATAGATTAGGATTTGTGACTGAAGAAAGATAGAGAAAGAATGAGAAAGAGCCTCTCCAACTCCTTAGCATGCAGAGGGCTGAGTCAAGAACCCTCAGATCGGCTCGGCGCCTGTAGCTCAAGTGGCTAAGGCGCCAGCCACATACACCTAAGGTGACGGGTTCAAATCCAGCCTCGGCCCGCCAAAAAACAATGACGGCTGCAACCAAAAAATAGCCGAGTGTTGTGGTGGGCGCCTGTGGTCCCAGCTACTTGGGAGGCGGAGGCAGGAGACTTGCTTGAGCCCAGGAGTTGGAGGTTGCTGTGAGCTGTGATGCCACAGCACTCTACCCCGGGGGACAGCTTGAGTCTCTGTCTCAAAAAAAAAAAAAGAAGCCTCAGATCATCAAATTCTCTCTGAAAGCTTAGCCATAGGCTAGGCCCAGAAAGAAGGATAATACAAAGGAAGCATCAAAGAAGCACTAAAGAATGATCCCATTCCTTTCTACTGTACAATTTTAGAGGAATTATGGAAGGAGAAGTCAGAGAAGAAAGCAGGAAAATTAAGCAAACAGATGTGGCCTTTGTTCCATTCTGGGTTTGCAATTTGCACAAGAAAAAGAAGGGTCTTGTCAATGGTGCCGGCTCCTCAGCCCTGGTGCAGCCACAGCAGAGTTCATGAGGCTCAGCAGAAAGCTGGGGGGTGGGAGGCCCTGAGCTCCCACACTGTGAGGGATGCTGCCACAGAAGAACAGGGGGCCCCTGAAACTGGCTAGCTGGAAGCCAGGGCAGAGAGTTGGTGGTCTGTCGGGAGTATAGCCAGGGAGCACTCTGCTCTGACTGACCCCACTACAGTGACGAAGTGGAGAGGGCAACAGTGCCAGGTGGTCCCGGTCATTACTCGGACACCACAGGAGGTTGACCACATTGCACCCAATGAGCCTAACCTCTCCCCATTGCCATGAGATCCATGGCTCCATTTACCTAAGCCCCCTTTGGGGATAGCATAGAAGGGCCACTTGAAGGGAGTGATTAAATTTTGAGATGAAACCAAAATGGATGAAGTAATTAGCCTGCTGATGAAGAAGATGAAGGGGAGGTGGAGAAGTAGATTAGCCTGTCTCGGCACATGTGAGCTGCAGGGTGCAGTGGGCACTGCTCTTGGGTGGTAGGAAAAGCAGAGATGGAGTGTTAGGAGTCCAGCATAACACTTGAGTAATCAGCATAAATGTTACCCTGGGCCGGAACCAGATCCAATACAAGTGTCAGAAACAGCTGTCTTCAGTTTCAGTTGTTACAAATATTTTCCTACGGTTCTCTATTGCCTGGCAATGCTTTTTGTCTCTGGAGGGCTCCTTTGGAATCATCCCTGTGCTGATTGAAGTGCAAAAATCAATAGGATGTAAGTGATTAGATAGGTGGGACTGGAAAAAAAATATGTTTTCAAGAATCAAAATGTATATTTATTTCTAGAAGCAGCCTCAAACCTCCAGGTAACTGATACAGCTCTGTGAAATAGATCTAAGGACTGGGCAAAAACAAATGTTCCCTGCTGAGTAGAAAACAATCTTCTGTCGGAGCACCAGTGGACGGGGGGTATCAATCTACCCAGAGTTCTGTGTGTTTCTTGCTTTGTGATGTAGCGTCTGAGCTCTTGATCAGCCCTGGTACCAGGACTCCTGTGCCTCCCAGGGAAAAATTAATAAGGAAGCAAAAGATACTGTTGCCGGAATTTCTCTCTGTAGCAGGTCCTTGGTCTCAAAGATTAGAAACTGCTTTTCTCTGATCCTGCTTGCATCTAAGAGTAGCATTTGGAAAAAAGTCTGTTTGTTCAGGCTTAGAAAATGGAGGTCCCCATCCAGTCTGGAAAAGGGGAGCCCTGTATCAATCACAGGAAACCAGCACATCACCACTCAACATCTGTAAGGGTCACCTACGAGTTCTACACTCCCTGAGTGATCTAGGAGCAATTATCAAATTCTCCTGGGATGCAGTGTTCTCATTTGCAAATGGAGATAGTTGTACCATCTTGCAGAATTTCGGGAGAATGCACCGTATGTGAAAGCTCATGGCTCAGCATGTGGGTGCGTAATCAATGACAGGTTATCATTATTATTATAAAAATAATTGAGAGATGTCAATGTGGGAAGTGCAAATTTTAGAGGAAAGGAGGTAGAACACGTTAATCAGAGAGAAAAGGTATCTTGGGGAAAATAGAGTAATACTGTTCTTCAAGTTATGAGATTTTTCCTGAACCCAACTTGGGTCCAGTCACCCAGAGAAGCCAAACACTGACATTGCAGCCTGCAGCGAGAGACAGGAGGGCACTTACTGCACGACACCAAGCAGAGGGAACAGGCAGCTGTGCCTAAGACCCAAACTCCTGGAAGGGTTACAGCACGGGTTTCAAAGGCAGGGAGAATATTTCGGGAAAGCTGACATTACAGGCAAAATTGCAAGGCAATACATGGAGGTTATACATTAGTTTGACCCCCAAAGGAAGGATAGTTTGAAGCGAGGGCTATGGGACCAAAATGGAGTCAGAGAATTGGCTATGGAAGCGGCTATCTGCAAACGTGGGGTCAGTGGAAAGGAATGTTAATGTTTGGCCTGAGGATGTGACACCAGGACTCTGGGGAAGAAACTTAGCGCAAAGAACAGTGGTTGAGAGTTCAGTCCTCACTTCCTTCACAGCAGGGGTCACAGTTGGCATTTTTCATCTGGCAGGGTACAGGTTTCTGAAAACCTAGGTATGTTTCAGAAACGTGTCAAAGTGTCAAAGTGTTATCTTTTAGTTTCTACAGGGAACCCAAGAACCTTGCGACTCTGACTTGCGTGGGGGACTCTTGTTTGAAGTCAGTATTATCTTCTTGTGTATCAGGTTGGTCATTCACTATTCAAGGCTAGTCAGGTCTCTAGAGTTTCCCTTGAAGGGACAAGGCCTTTCCTTTATTTCAATGCTCCAGGGGGCCTGGGTGACTCCTAAGAGGGGTCCCGACTACATTTTAGGATATGTCTTGAGTTTCTTTAGCATTTAGTAAGAAAATATCGTGGATCAAAGTCTGTGAGTTTAACCTAAATTCTTTGAGAATTCATTTTTTTTTAATTTACCAACTTTTTAAAGGTACAATTGACAAATAAAAATTTTCCATATTATGGCCTATAGAGTAATGCTTTGATACACAGTTGACCCTCTGTGTCCTTAAGTTGTGCATCTTTGAATGCAAACAAGCTTGCAAAGTAAGAACTAACAATGTAGCAATAAATAATAATACCAATAAAAACAATATCATATAACAAGCATTTACGCAGCATTGACATTGTGTTAGATATTGATGTAAAGTACAAGGGAGGATGTACAAAGTATGTAGGTTATATGCAAATACTCTGCTATTATATAGAAAGTCTGATTTTGCTATGTGGGTGCAAAATCGGTGACAGGTTATCATTATTATTATTAAAATAGATGAGAGTGGTAAATGTACTGAAATAAATGTTACAGGAACAGTGAGGGACAAATATATGTATACACTGTGGAATGATTAAGCAAACTAATTAACGTGTCTATCATCTCACACACCCTTTCTTTTTGTGCTTGTGGCAATAGCACATAAGATCTAATCTCTTAGTGATTCTCAAGTAGACAATGCTTTATTATTAATACAATGCATGATTGTTAATTATAGTCAACATGCTGTACAGCACATCACTTGCATGTACTTATCTTGTATAACTGAAACTTTGGTTTGTATAACAAACCTCTCCCACACCTCATCCCACCCCCACCTCTGCTCCCCCTTAGCTCTTGGTAGCCACCATTCTACTCTGCTTTTCTTTTGGTTAATTAGCTTCCAGTTAACTTTTATTTTTAGAGTACTTCATTGTATGGAAATTTATTATCTGAATTTCATGGTAGCTCTAACCAGAGTGTCTAAACTTCCTTTAATACCAAATTAGGGCTTGAACACATTTTCTTAGTCTCAAAGAACTTGGCCTTGCTCTTTGAGACACCTCTGTGCTGTGGATTTGTTACTGTGGACCTCTGATCTCCGTTGCTTTTGGATCATTTTATGGTTTCTTTCCAGAGTTGTCTTTCTTTTTTTAATGAATTCAAAGTTCTAGTCTTAATTCCTGTCCTCTATTGGTATTATTATTTTTAACTGTATTTTGTTTTTAATTGCTGCATACGAAGTGCATGTATTTACGGGGTGTGATTTTTTGATGCATCCCTTATGTAATGATCAAATCAGGGTAATTAGCATATCCATTGCCTCAAACATTTAATTGAGTAGAATTAAAAACACGTTCAACCTTATCTCTTTGAAAATTTGCTGTTGCAGTAAGAGTCAATCTGTGTGTTTATGTCTATTCAATAAAATAGAGCGGGTTGAACGAGGCTCAGTGTGAGCCAATGGGGAATATTGAAGCTAAAAACAGTAACAGCTTCCCTTTACATAACTGAAGTAAACTTTACCAAAATCGCTTTTAGCTTCTCTAGCCTTTGCTCTTCTAAGGTAAAGCTGAGGCTTTTTCTCCTCAAGCAAAGACTGTGAAACTTGACATAGTGCTAGACTTCATAGGGGGCACGTGAGCATAACACTTTTTTTCAGTGAAACATGGGCATGGATGCTGAGCCCGGAGGCCTGTTCCTCCAGGGAGGGCCCAAGTCGCCCCTGTACCCCAGTTCCCCTTGTCTCCTACAACTTGTTGTCTGTGGGTCACCACTGCTGTGGGCCTTCCCAGGGAGGTGGTGTACGTTCTGATCCTACTGCATTTGATGAATGAATTTGTACGGCTACATCTCAGACATCATTTTTTATGATTAATTTCTACCTTAACACAGGGCTGTGATTTTCCTATGCGATAGCCCTTCTGTAGATCGATGCCTTCTTCCTGAGTATGGAAGAGGTGGTCACTTGGAGAGAAAGGAGGAGCACTTCAGCATCAGAGGAGAGAGATGCCCACCTAACCTTAGTTTACATTTTTAAATTTCTTCTCTGCATCCATCCGGCGATCTGCCTGTCCTTCTCAGAGAACAAGGAGGCTGCGCATAAGGGTTCCTTGCCTTGTTTCTGGGTTTTGCCCTTGGCGTCTGTCAAGTGCCCCCTTTGGCTCTGGAGGGGAAGGAAGATGTGTAGCCATAACTGTAGAGAAAAGCATTTTAGGGTCTCTAAATTGCAAAGTGTCCTTGGCTAAAATGTTTCTACTGGACCTATCTGAATTTGTCTCAACCTAAAAATTGGTGACCTTTAATTTGTGTCCTGCATTTACCGTTCCAAGGGAAGGGAGGGTGGCCCTCTTCAGGGCCTTTGTCCTGCCAGTCCTGATACGCCCTGTGCTTGGACCCAGGTCGCACGATCATCTTCACAACTCACCACCTGGATGAAGCGGAGGTGCTCAGTGACCGTGTGGCCGTCCTCCAGCAGGGCCAGCTCAGGTGCTGTGGCCACCCCTCCTGCCTGAAGGACGCATATGGCCAGGGGCTCAGCCTGACCCTCACGAAGCAGGTGAGAAGTGCAGCCACCTTGCTTCCTGGGGAAGTCCCACTGCTCTCTGTGGGATAAGAACCAGATTGCGGCAATTAGGCAATAATAACGTCTCAGTAGAGGCCTTCTGTGTGCAATGGCCCGGAGGCCGAAGTCAGTGCCCCCAGGGCGGAGAAAAGGGAGCTATCCTCTGGGAACCCCAAGATGCATTTTTGATAACCAGAAGGAAATATTAGTACATGGAGGGTAAGAATTATCTGACAGTAGGAGCTGCTGTGAGTGTCTGGGTCAGGAAGCATCATTATTTAGGTGTTCTAGAAATACCTTCCAACAATGATACTTCATTTAGGAGGCTAAAATTTTGTCCTACTGCAGAAACAAAGTAGTGAGGGCCTAGGCTGTGTTTTCCAACCTTTTTTATCACATGGAACTCTTGAACCTATAATTAAACTTTCACAACACACTTAAATTATGTTGATCAAAAAAAGAATAAACTCACTGTGCTTTGAACTTCTTTCAAAAATAATTTAATTAATGATCTTTAAAAATTTCTGTGGCATACCTAAATCCTCTTGTGGTACACCAGTTGAAAAATCACTGGCCAGTGGGGTGGCCCTGCACACCTGTACATATGTAGTATGTACATTATTATTATTGCGTTATTATTGCCTGTGTCAATAATAATGTACACATGTAGTATGTACATATGCAGTATGTACACATGTAGTATGTACACATGTAGTATGTACATATGCAGTATGTACATTATTACATACTACATTATTATTATCATTGCCTGTGTCAACCGGGGCATGCAAGGGTGGCTCTGGAGTTGGGACTGGAGTGGGAGTGGCACCTCCCACTCTTGGTAATCGGTGGTCCTCATAAAGTCTGCCCTTGACCTCTGAGCTAATGTTCCTATTTGCTTCCTCTCTAATTCAGGGTGATACTTCACCATTCTGAGAAAGCTCCTTTCCTCTGTAGCTGAGAATCCTTGTCTTCTTTTTAAGACTCAGCCCTGTCTCCATAGTACAGTTGCTAGGCCAGAGTTCTTTGTGATTGTCCAAAGGGACCAGCAGAGGGGGAGGAGGTACTTCATGAAGGCATGAATAGATGAGGCAGCCGCAGCTGCCCAGTGGCCAAGGGGGGCATGCAGGTGTGGCCTCACCTGGTTTATCACCATAGAGTTATATTTTAAAAAAGAAAGAAAAGAATGCAATGGATTGTTGAGGTGCCTATTGCTTAAATGTGGTGTTTCATTTAAGCTATGATGGGGAATTTCAAAATAATTTGCATGAAATCAATTTATATATATTTGAATTGACACTCCTTATTGCTTTTTCAGTTTTTTTTTCTTTTTTTTTTTTGTAGCCTTCTGTTTTGGAGGTCCATGATCCAAAATACATAGCTCGTGTTACATCCCTTATCCAGAACTACATTCCGCAAGCATTTCTGAAAATCAGCAGTGGGGGTGAACTGACCTACACCATTCCACAGGATGCAGACAGGACCTGCTTCAAAGGGCTCTTCCAGGCACTGGATCAGAACCTACAAGCTCTGCACCTGACAGGCTATGGGATCTCAGACCCTACCCTGGAGGAGGTACTGAGAAAGCTTTTATCACTTACCCACTTTGGCTATTCTATATTCAGTGAACAGATATGGGTGAAAGGGTTGGAGAACGTGGTGCATTTTTACTTTGTCCAAATTCTGCTCAGCGTCAGGCACGGTGGGATCCAGTAACTGAGTCAACACCCCCGACAGGTGACTATTGCTCTTGATGGAAAATAACATTCTTCTATCTGTGAACTTAGGTGTCTTTAATCCAAAATCACTACCTGTCTAAACACTTTTCAGTGGTGGACAACAGCTGGTCCTAGCTCCCCACGTGGAACCCTCTTCACTGTGGGCTGCTGTCCTGGAGTCACTGTTCCATGCTGGGTGAGCAGGATGTGAGAGGGGCAGCGTGTCCACCCCACTGACCCCCGGAAGGCGGGCTCCCACCTCTAGATCCCCCTTTGCTCTGCCTGGGACTAAGCAGGATAAGACCAGCAGGAGTCAGAGTCAGGCAGTTCCTGCAGGAGGAAGTTGCTGTGCTGTATGGTCCAACCTAAGCCCGGCCCCGTCCAGGGTTGGCTGAGGCTGGTTCTATGTGTGAGCCATATTTGAATTTTGATTTTATATTTCTATCACTTATAGAAAGTGCTTCAAATTTCTAAAAAAAAGTCAAGTGGTACAAATTAAAAAATAATCTGGGAAGAATTTTAGACCAGTTTCTCTAAATTACTCAGAAATAGTAATAGTGCCGATCAGGTTTTTTTTTTTTTTTGA